ATATTTATACTCTATAGAGAGTTTCAAATCATTTATACTTACATAAATTATCATTCTTTTTCAATAATTTCCTTTACTTGTTCGTCTTTTGTTCAATAAATGTGAAACAGAGGCTTTGAAACATCTAGAAACAATGTTTCCAAGATACAAAAGAGATTGAAATCGTAAAGTTTTTTATAATAGAATGATAAAGATATGGACATATTTATCTTTTCTTATCAACAATTTTCACGCTACGATTACGAGTATAATGTTTTCTCTATCCACTCTTCCATCGTAAACGTTGCGGAGTTAGTTGAATCTGGATCTCGTTCTCTGAAAATATCTGTAAGTAGATAATACGCGTTATTTTCTTTGTTCCAATATAAATGTACTATTTATTTAGGTGTATTTATTTGCTTACCTATCATGGTTTTAAGTCGCACAGCGCACATTATGTAATCGTTAAAGGTGATCATACCATCTTTCGTTCCATAACGGTGTACCAAAATATTCAAAATGTGATTATTTAACCGATAACCTGCGCTGTTTAACGCTTGCCGCAATTCGAACGCGCTCAGATATCCAGATTCGTCTTTATCGTACAATTTAAACACAGCCTGAAAAAGAAAAATTATTCTTATGGATTTTTTTATCAATACAGTATTGCATTTCCTAACACAGTATGATCCATTTAATAATTTAAACTATTCAAATTTATCAATTCAATTTCTTAATGCTTAATATACAATTTTTGAAGCAACTCATTTATACAATCAAGAAATAGCTGTTTAACAAAAATCTGATATAAAAGAGTTCGTTAAAAATCATTTCATCTTTTTCAATAGAAAGATATTTTTTTATTGTTCATTTTTTTTACTGAAACTCTTTAAAGTGTATTACAATTAGGAATGTACTAAAAGATCTAATTGATTCAAAATTATCAGCTGTTGCAGCTTACTTTAATCTTTGATCATTTTATGCACACTGTATGAATTAAGTTGAGTGTATATGCTCGTTACACTGATATTTCGTTATCGATAACAAAACGTTGCGGTTTAATTCAAAGAAAATTAGTATAATTTGAATATTTGAAAATCTCACGACAATTTCATTCTCATCGTGCAAATTTCGTTATTAACGTACCCTCCATTTTCTTATATCGTTCCATAACATTCTGAATTCTTCAAATCCAAGTTTACCAGAGTGATCAACATCCAACATTGCAACCATGCTACGGCACACATCCTTACTGAATCCTTCATTGTTCGTTTCTGAAATGAAGAAAACACTTCTATCTGTAATACTACTACTAATACTAGTTTAAAGTCAACAGTTACAGCTTTGTATTGGTAAAATACTCTTCGATTGAAAATTGTATGAATTTCTGTAAACATTGTAAAGCAGAAAGATAATGAAAGGTTGTAAAATCGTACAATGAAAACACCACAGATATGAACAGAATACATGGGTAGATAAGAATAGGCTACAATTAATGAGATTACAGTATATCTACGTAACAGCTTTTTACATACTGCATTCGAAGTTCGATCAATTACTCTCAAGCGATCTCGTTAATGGTTTATTTATCCTTCTTCGTAGCAAGGGTGCATGCACAAACTTTTTTCAACTATTCGGTTCTTCGAGCTTTTAACTTGCACTTGCACATCTGTGTACATTTGTTATTTATTTCAAACGATTAATTTTTCAATGAATTTTTCGTTTTACACGTCGCGTCTAACGTTGTTATTATGAAAAAAAAATGCTAGACGACATAATAATTCATCTTCTTGAATTTTTTTGCGATATTCAAAACAAGTACAAAAACTAATCAGTTGAATTGTTAATTAGTCGGATTTATCTTGAGTTTATTTAAAATTTAATGTTCGATATAGTATAAAAATTGTGAAGGCATCGAGCCAAATTTGATTCATTGAAATCAGTTAGAGAAAAAGAATCGGTAAATGAAATTAAATCAATTGAAATAAATGAAAATAAAAAATTATAAATAAATATGAAATAATTA